GATGGCCACGCCGCAATCCCTTCTCCTCCATTCTCCTCTCGGGATCTTGGGCATGCACGCACACTCGCCCGGCGTGAGTTTAAGCCACTGGGTCCGGGACGTGAACTGCGGTTGACTACGTGGGAGTCCAGCGACATAGCCATTATGTTAACTGCTAATCCCGCCAGGATCTCATTTTGATATTACATTCTTTTTTATGGTTTTTTTTTTTTTTTTTTTTTTTTTAACGTTGGTACCCTTGGCAGTGTTGGGATGATGGTCACCATCTTCATCCTTGGAATCAGCGTCACTGCCTTGAGCACCTTCTGGGCACTGTGAAGGTCAGAAGTCCCGGCAAATAAGGAGACTGCCTTGTGTATTCATTTTGAGATATGACTCCACACAGGAAAGTTTCCGAGAACTCCGAGAGTGTGGGGTTAATGCTGAGGCTGCGTGGCCAGCAAGTGATCTTGTGCTCCCCAGGAGATGTTTCCGGTTCTGTGGGCTGCTGCTGCTCTTGGCTCAGCTAGTGTCCTCAGTGTTGGCGCAGAGGCTTTGGGTTACGTAGATGAGAGGAGAAGTAAAACTAGCCCAGCCATTTCTACCCCAGGCAGGTCAGTTAAACTCTGAACTTACTGTCTAATGTGAAGTACGACTAGTGCTGTGCTTACAGTAGAAGTGCCCAGAGTGGTTTTTGGTACCAACACCATTGGGATAAATGGCAGTGGATAAAAGACAGCTGTGATTATTATGGTTCTTGTCTGTGATCTTGACAGAGCGAGATAACTACTGATGTGTACTTTTTACTTGCTTTAGGTTTTTGCCATAGGGTGCATGTGCTCACTGGAAAGAGACAGAGAGAGGGAAAGGGAGAAATCACCCCCTGAAAGGATGGCCACTGTGCGGTACCTTCTTCATTCTTCTCGGGACTTTGGGCATGCATGCATACTGGGTCTGGCACTCAAACCATGGCTGACCATATGAGAATCCTGTGCCTTAACTGCTACACCACCTGTTGGCCCCTGACATGTTCTTTTGAAATTCACAGAAAATAAATTGTTGCTTTTGCAGCAGCCCTACAAGGGATGAGGTAGGATGTGAATGCAGGTGTATTTGACTCCAGAGCCTAGATCAGGTAGTCATTGCTAAATGGGGAGGTGGAAATTGTGTGATTTACCTACGATGTATGGAAATCTATTTCCCTTATACCCACCCTTCGAAAACCGCTGTCCCTTATACCCACCCTTCGATGAATCATTTCATCGAATAATTACTTGAGGCAAATTACTTTAAAAAAAAAGTTATTTATTCAGTGTTAATTATTCATTAATTTATTCTAACTTGATGAGAGAGAGAAAGAGAAGAGGAAAAGTGGGAAAGCAAGCTACCAGATCGAACTGTGGTCGGCCATGTAGGAGTGTCCAACACCTTAACCACTGCACCACTTGCTGGTTCTGAGGCAAATAACTTCTAAGCATTGGAGAAACTTCCAAGACACAAAAGACTTGCCTAAGTCCTGGAAGGGTTTTGATTTTTATTTTTTCTTAATTTGTTATAGGGTGTGTACACTCACTTGGGGTGGGGTTGAGGGGACTGAGAAAGCATCCCTTGGGAAGATTACTGTGCTTCAATCCCTTCTCCATTGTTCTCTCAGGATTTGGGACACATATGCCCTGGTGTGTGTTTCAAGCTGCTGGGTCTAAGACTTGAACCATATAATTGACCATGTGGGATCAGCTGCCTTAACCACCATGCCACCTGGTTGGCTACTGGAAGGAGCTTTTTGATTTCATTCAAGATGATTTTTCTGGTATCAGCCTGTGAAAGCAAGAGCCGCAGTTCTCACAAGGGAGGTTGTGAATGGAGTTTGGGGAGGCTTCCTTCCCTGACCATGACTGGAATTAGCTGGTTTGCATGGTCAGTGCAGTAGGACTTTAACAGTTGTTGTTAGGAGGGCTTGTGTACTTGAAAAGGAGGTTTGACACTGTGTTGTGTGTGTGTCCCAAGACACTGGAGGAGGGCTGGAGTCTAAAGGGGCAGAGGCTGCTACTTCAGTCACTACTGGCTTCATTGAGCCTGGAAGGCTAGGATCAAACATTCTTACCCAGCTGGTCCGGTCCTGCCATAGATGTCCTGTTTGGCCCTCGCAGGGTTTTGTTTTTAAGGTGTTTTTTTTTTTTTTTTTGCTATAGGGCATGTGTGCTCGCAGAAGAGAGGCAGTGAGAGTGAAGATGAGAAATCATCCCTCGGGGGGATGGCCATGCCTCAGTCCCTTCTCTGTTCTCCTCCTGGAGTTGGTGCTGACATGAGGACCCAGTTAGAGTGCTCCCCTCTCTTTCTCTTGTGGAAGGAATGAATAAGTAAACTTAAGAAACATGTAAAATTAATTAATAACACATCCAATATATCAAAGATGGACTAACATGCAGTCACTGTAATCAGTTATCAGTGAAGTGGTCTTCATGTGAAGGCTATATTAGGCCTTTGAAATATGATGTTGTGTTTAATATTGCCCTTCTCAGTCACATTGGTATAGCTATATGTGGCTAATGGCCTCTGTATTGGCCAGCACAGGCCTGAAAGATTCTCCTTGGGCTTTCTATGTTGTAGTTATTGCTGTACTAAAAGTGAAGATTCTCAGAGTGACCTTGATTACTAGCCACAGACAGATGGATAGCTAGGTAGCTATTTTTTGTTTTGACTGGTTTTGTTGTAGTAGTCCTTCTGCTTCAGCCTTAGCTGGGCCTATAGGTACATGCCACCATGCCAGGCCCTCAGGTTGGACCAGGAATTGAGCCTGGGACTTTCAAGTGGTCTCAGCCTACAGAGTACAGTGTCTTACCAGTGCTAGTCACTGCTGCTGGGCCTTACCACAGATTTTTTTTTTTAAATTTTTTTCTGTAGGGCATGCGTACTTGCCAGAGAGACAGAGGGAAAGTAAAAACTCACCCCTACTCCCAGGGGTGATAGCCATGACACAATCCCTTCTCCATTTTCCTCCTGGGATTTTGGGCATACATGCACATATAACTGGTGTGATTTTCAAGCTGCTGGGTCCAGGGTTTGAACCACGTTCAGCTATGTGGGAATCCAGTGCCTTAGCTACCATTGCCATTTGCTGGCACCCCAGTTTTTCAAGTTTTAAAATTTATTTTATTTAATTATTTTTAAAAAGAGTTACTTTATTTGTTACTATTTTTAATAATTATTTTATTTTTAATTTTATTCATTCATTCATTCATTTTTAATTTGACCAGAGAGAGAGATACAGAGAGAGAGAGAGACAAAGCAAGTCGCCAAGTCCGAGACTTGAACCATGGTCAGCCATGTGGGAGTGTCGATCTCCTTAACCATCACACCACTTGCTGGTCCCCTATTTTATTTTTTATTATTTTTTTAATTTGATGAGAGAGAGAGAGAGAGAGAGAGAGAAAGAAAACTTCCTGGTCTGGGACTTGAACCATGGTCAACCATGTGGGAGTCCAGTGCCTTAATTACCATGATACCTGCTGGCCCCTTATTTTTTATTCATGATAAAGAGCATGTGTGCACACCTGTGCATAAGAGAAAAAGAAGGTACCCTGCCAATGAAGCCTGGTCATGAAGCAATCCTTTTTCTTCTAGTTCCCCATCCCATCAGGATCCTCGGTGTTGTGAATGAGCTGGTGTGAAGCTGATAGAACTGGAATTCTAACCCTAGTTGCCCATGTGGGGTCCAGCTCCCTGTGCATAGGGCTTAACCACTGCACTATGGAGCTGGCCCCAAACTTCACACTATTTTTTTCTTTTTCTTTTTTTTATTTACGTTTTTGCCATAGGGCGTGGACACTCACTGGAAACAGAGAGGGAGTGTGAGACATCACCTCCCAGTGGGGATGGCCATGCCCCAATCACTTCTCTTGGGATCTTGGGCACACACACACACGTGCGCCCAGTTTGAGTTTTAAGTCACCAGGTCCAAGACTTGAACAGCGGTCGACTACGTGGTAGTCCAGCAATGTAACCATTATGCCATCTGTTGGTCCCAAGACTTATTTTTCTGTAGCCTCTTTGTGGGAATCATAGCCTTTCATTAAGGCTCTGGAGAGTCAGACCCTTCCTTTCCATTGACTTCCTATGTAGCCAGACTTGACTCACTTGACAAATTCTCTGGTAAGGACTCGGTTTATGATTGTTGGTCATCTTGTTGAGCTTTGGGTTTTGATTTTACTTCTATATTTGGTACTCTTGTTTTCTCTTCATGATCCTTTCTCAGTGCACGAGAAGTTCTCACATGTTTCAAATGTATTCTGTTCTTTACCAAAAACATTTATAATCAAGGTTGTCATGAACAAGTCCGTGTTGTTTAAGTGCTGGGAAAAAAACTGACATTAAACTGAAGTGGGTTATTGTCCATATTAGAGTTTGATCAAAGACCCCATCTCCTTTGGGGTTAGAGTTTGATACTTTATTGGTGCCCTAATGCCAAGTGTCTCACTCTTTCTTCTACAGGTCAATGTGTTGAAACTTACTGTCGAAGACTTGGAGAAAGAGAGAGATTTCTACTTTGGAAAGCTAAGGAACATTGAATTGATTTGCCAGGAGAATGAGGGGGAAAATGACCCTGTGTTGCAGCGGATTGTAGACATTCTCTATGCCACAGATGTATGTGTTGACATGGGGATAGTTTCCATTTTGTAACCTAAGAGAAAATAAGTTTTATCTAGTTAGCTTTAATAAACTACGCTGAGGCTTGTTACCTTCCAGTGTGGCAGTCACCAAAAGACTTCATTTTTGATTCCTCAAGATTAGCCAGAAGGTACCTCTACCCATCTTCAGCCTGTGCCTTGAGGTCTGTGAGCCCTGATGAAGGCATAGTATAAGGAAATGTCTGGCTTGCAGAGCTTCTGTAGTTTGTGGCCACTGCTAGGTGATGAGTGCCACAAAACGCTTTTAGCCAGAAGCATTTCCTACCCTGTCCTCTGCAACTTGGACCCGAGATGTGGCTTCTGTCTTCTCAGAGCCCCAAGTTTGCACTGGAGAACCAGGCCTGTGGGCTTTTTTTCAGAGTTTGCTTTCCACAGCTGTCAGGGTGGTGTATCTCTCCCCTAGGCTCTTATTCCCTCAGAGCACTTTATGATCAAGGTTCTTCAGGTCCACGTTTATTACATAGCCAGCTCTGCCAGTATTGTATGTTAGCTGATCAGGGACGACTCTTTTCCCCCAGAGTCAGGGTTTGATACCAGGCCATGTCCACTGTTCAGTGGTCACATCTGTAATTCTTCCACATGCCTAGCAAGGCCTATAGGGTCAGGATGCAAACTATTTGTAGTGTGTGTGGCACTGTACAGGTAGAAGTTAGCATCACTGCTATTATCACTGTCCTCTAAACATATCTTAAGAATTGTGGAGGATTAGAACAGGTGACTGAACAGCTCATGGTCTGTTCAATAAATCCTTATTTAGGCCTGGATCTGTGCTAGATAACGAAAACAAAGATGATGAAGATATAGAGGGTCCTTGATCTAATCTGAGTATTATTTTAGTGGTGTCACGTCTTAAATAAACTCAGGTATAGAGACTTGGTTTTAAAAAAGTAAGGTAATGGTTGAAAGAGAAGCCATATTTTTACTGTGGTGTAGAGTAGTAGTCATTCCCCGCTGTATGTGCAT